CAAGAGGCCACGAATAGCCAAGGCAATACTCAGTCAAAAGAACAATGCAGGAGGTATCACAATACCTGACTTCAAACTATATTCCAAAGCAGTAACAATAAAAACAGCATGGTACTGGCACAAAAACAGACATGAAGACCAGTGGAACAGAATAGAGGACCCAGATATGAAGCCACACAACTATAACCAACTTATCTTTGACAAAGGAGCTAAAAATATACGATGGAGAAATAGCAGCCTCTTCAACAAAACTGCTGGGAAAACTGGTTAGCAGTCTGCAAAAAACTGAAACTAGATCCATGTATATCACCCTATACCAAGATTAACTCAAAATGGATCAAGGATCTTAATATCAGACCCAAACTCTTAAGTTGATACAAGAAAGAGTAGGAAATACTCTGGAGTTAGTAGGTATAGGTAAGAACTTTCTCAATGAAACCCCAGCAGCACAGCAACTAAGAGATAGCATAGATAAATGGGACTCATAAAACTAAAAAGCTTCTGTTCATCAAAAGAAATGGTCTCTAAACTGAAGAGAACACCCACAGAGTGGGAGAAAATATTTGCCAACTATACATCAGACAAAGGACTGATAACCAGAATATATAGGGAACTTAAAAAACTAAATTCTCCCAAAACTAATGAACCAATAAAGAAATGGGCAAGTGAACTAAACAGAACTTTCTCAAAAGAAGAAATTCAAATGGCCAGAAAACACATGAAAAAATGCTCACCATCTCTAGCAATAAAGGAAATGCAAATTAAAACCACATTAAGATTCCACCTCACCCCTGTTAGAATAGCCATCATCAGCAACACCACCAACAACAGGTGTTGGTGAGGATGCGGGGAAAAAGGAACCCTCTTACACTGTTGGTGGGAATGTAGACTAGTACAACCACTCTGGAAAAAAATTTGGAGGCTACTTAAAAAGCTGGACATCGATCTACCATTTGATCCAGCAATACCACTCTTGGGGATATACCCAAAAGACTGTTACTCCAGAGGCACCTGCACATCCATGTTTATTGCGGCACTATTCACAATAGCCAAGTTATGGAAACAGCCAAGATGCCCCAGCACTGACGAATGGATTAAGAAAATGTGGTATCTATACACAATGGAATTTTATGCAGCCATGAAGAAGAACGAAATGTTATCATTCACTGGTAAATGGATGGAATTGGAGAACATCATTCTGAGTGAGGTTAGCCTGGCCCAAAAGACCAAAAATCGTATGTTCTCCCTCATATGTGGACATTAGATCAAGGGCAAACACAACAAGGGGATTGGACTATGAGCACATGATAAAAGCGAGAGCACACAAGGAAGGGGTGAGGATAGGTAAGACACCTAAAAAACTAGCTAGCATTTGTTGCCCTTAACGCAGAGAAACTAAAGCAGATACCTTAAAGCAACTGAGGCCAATAGGAAAAGGGGAACAGGTACTAGAGAAAAGGTTAGATCAAAAAGAATTAACCTAGAAGGTAACACCCACGCACAGGAAATCAATGTGAGTCAATGCCCTGTATAGCTATCCTTACCTCAACCAGCAAAAACCCTTGTTCCTTCCTATTATTGCTTATACTCTCTCTACAACAAAATTAGAGATAAGGGCAAAATAGTTTCTGCTGGGTATTTGGTGGGGGGAGGGAGGGGGCGGAGTGGGTGGTAAGGGAGGGGTGGGGGCAGGGGGGAGAAATGAACCAAGCCTTGTATGCACATATGAATAATAAAAGAAAAATGAAAAAAAAAAAAGTTTGTTGCATTCAAATAATGTATTTTACTCATTCTATCTAAAAACAGTAGTTCTACTACTATACTAGTTATAGAGATGAATACATTAAACAAAGAATAACTCAAATTAACAAAATGCTAAACAGGTATTTACTTAGTACAAGAAACTGTTCTTGGTTCTATGAGGAAATAGAAATCATCATCATCTTGTTTGTATTTAGAAAGATAAACATCTAAAAAGATAATATACAGTCAACTACTCCAACACCACATTAGTAACAGAAATAAATAACAGAAAAGGTTTAAAGTGGGTTGGAGCTCAGAGAAAGCTTTTAGTCTGGATCTTGAATAATATATAAAAATTTTTCAGAGAGGAAGGAAAGGGGTAATTAAGGCAAGAAGATGAAACACAGTTGGCTCCAGTGGCTCACATCTGTAATCCTACCTACTTGGGAGGCTGAGATCAGGAGGATCATGGTTTAAAACTGGCCCTGGCAAATACTTATCATGACTCTATCTACAAAATAACCAGAGGAAAATGGACTGGAGGTGTAGCTCAAGAAGGAGAGTGCTTATTTTACAATGGCAAAGCTCTCAGTTCAAATCCCGTCCCACAAAAAAGAAAAAAAAAGATGAAACACAAATAAGGGACAAACTCAGCATTAAATCATTGATTAAACTTTTTTTTAAAATTTGATGTCCAAGACTAAGATTCAGAGATTCTGTGTGTGGTCAGAGGGGGTGGGGGAGGGCTAGGCATGGTGGCTCATGGCTGTAATTCTTTATGTGGGAGACAGAGATCAGGAGGACTGAGGCTTGAGGCCAGTCAGGGCAAAAACGTTAGCAAGACCCCATCTCTTATTGAGACCAAATATGTTGGCAAATGCCTGTGGTCTCAGCTATGCAGGAGGCTGTAGGCAGGAAGATCTCAGTCTCAGGTATCCAGAGCAAAAAACTTAGACCTTACCTAAAGAAATAAGTAAATCCTGCTCCCCTACCCTCCCACCCCAAAAAAAGGTCTCGGGGTGTGGCTCAAGTGATAGAGGCCCTGCCTAGCAAGTGTGAGTTCAAACTCTAGTACCATAAGAAAAAAAAATGCTGTTTTTTGTTCTAAAGGAAATTATCATGTTTAGGTAAGTTTGATATCACTAGGTATAGATGCAAGAATGAGCAAAGCTTGCTCAGTAGAACAATAAGACAACCAATTTTGTTAGAGAGAAAGGTTTTCACAGTAGATAAGTAAATCAAAGCTGCTACTAAATCTTGGATTACTTTCCAGGAGGAGCCACTGGAATCTTTTATGCAAGGAGATAGTGTAGATGTAGCAACAATGTGCAGGATGGACTATAGTGATAAAAGTTATAAATAAGAACACATAGGCTATTAGAATATTTATTTATTTTCTTAAATTTTTCTTGGTGGTGCTAGAATTCGAACTCAGGGCCTTGCACTTGGTAATCACTCAAGTGCTCTACCACTTGAGTCACACATTCCCAGCCTGCAAATTCCTTATTATTAAAGTGACAACAGCACCAAAGACGAGGCTGTCCTTTTGGATTGTTTTTTTATTTTTTTGGCAGCACAGGAGTTTGAACTCAGGTCCTCATGCTTGCTAGGCAGGCACTCCACCACTTGAGTCACTCCACCAGTTCCTATTAGAGTATTTAGGTAAGAGTAATAAAGGTTATCTGGGTATGGTGGTACATGCCTGCAAGCACGGCACTCAGGAGGCCAGCCTCAACTACATACTGAGACACTGTCTCAAAAAAAAAAAGGAGTAAAGGTTTGGCTTTAGTGGTGGAAATGGGAATAAAGTAGATAAAAGGTACATTTTTAAAGAGCCATATTACAGATTAGATCAATAAAACCATTTGCAAGTAGGACAAGGAAGTCCTGGCATAAAGTAGATGCTGAATAAAATATTCAATGACTAATTAACAAAGAAGAACATGGTATCAAAGATGATTTCACAGAAGGCTAAAGAACACTATTTTATCAACAGAGAGTCAAGAGAAGAGGAGGCTAGGGGTAAGAAAATTAGGCTGTGAGTTAAGTTTTAATTCTAAAGAAATATCTGAGAAAATTCAGGCATAGTACAGGCTAGATATGAACTAAGGAAATTCATAATAGAAAATACCTTTGTGAGAAAAGTTAGTCTGATGTTGAATCTTAAGGAACTCTATACCTGTGTTGCACAATCAGTCTTAAGAATAAAGAAGTGGATCTGGGCTGGTCAGAGGAAAAAAGGCAGAGTAGAATAGGCAAAGCTGGACTAACTAATGGATCACTAGCCCATTCAGAGAAAAGTAAACTGGATGCAGAAATGTTAAGAAATTTTTAGGATTCCTATATAAATGGCACAGCAATGCTGGACAGTTTTTTCCATTATTCTGAGGAACAGTGGCAATTTTCAGCCATACAGTCTCACTGGATTTAGTCACTGATCATCTGTTCAATAATTATTTATTAAGGAGCTACTTGCTATACATTTGGTGTCAGAAACACAAAGATGAATATGACATAGTTTGTCCTGTGGCAGCACAGAGTTTTTGGGGAATGGGTGGTGATACTAATGATATCACATATTTACAAAGTGCTCTTGCACCACAGAGGAAGGAGCTGCAAAATTCTGTCCACAGCAACAAAACAGTAGCTGATATTTAAGCAGTATCTTGAAGTTGCAGAGAAAGAGGGAAAAGTATAGTAGACCAGTAGCACAGCATATACAAAACACAGAAGTACAAAAGATCACAGTATGTGTAGTGAATGGCAAGTAGTTCCATATAATTATACCACAGGACATGTTTAGGGGAAGGGAGAGGAATGGAAGATGATGCCAAGGACCAAAAATAAGCAGGGGCTATGTTGTAAGTCAAGAATACCACTGTAAGGAGCAGAAGATCATGATGATGGTCACAATCCACTTTCTACTGAACAATTTATCACATACAAGGCATACTATAAGGTATCACTATGAGATCAAGGACTACTCTAGAATGAAAAAGACTTTTAAGAGAAATATAGGTTAGGATTGTGGCTCAAGTGGCAGAGCACCTGCCCAGCAAGCACAATCTATATATTCAAACCCCAGTACTACAGAGAGAGAGAGAAATATTGAGTACATCACTCCTAAGATCTATGAAGTCTAATTGTTTTGCCTGTGTAACAAAAGTACTAATGGAAACACAGAATCCACTCTGACACAAATGCAGTCTACAGGCTCTTATTAGTGCTCACTCTAGAAAATAAAAACAAAAACATACCTTGCCGTACATGGTCTTAAAAGCTGCTTTAATTTTTTGCCTCTGATCATTGGAGCGGTTGGCAACAACATCCACAATTGCTTGTTCATCTGTCCCTGGAAGAGCCATACAGGTTTACATAAAGACAAGGTCCTTGCTGGGTAATCCTGGAGGTCATCTCTTAAGAGAACTTACAAGGCCCACTGTGTCTGATTAACCTAAAGTGTGAGCATACAGGCTGACATAGGAACTTGGTTTGTAATACAGATTTATTTTACTTCAGAGTTGATCACTTTTATTATAAAAGTCAAAATCTGTTTTCCTTACCAAATCCCTTCATTGCTTTACGGAGAACTTCTGCATCTCTCATAGCATCAAAGTTGGCAGCTGGTCGGATTGTACCTTGAGTGCCCTGAGTCACTGCAGCAGGCTAAGACCAAAAGATATAAATTCTAAGTTAGGATTCTCTGTTGACAATAAGGCAACTTAAAAGACTTCCCCAGATATCACTCATAGATGGCCTATGTTTAGATTTGGGGGGAGGATATAAAAACTTTATTCCAGGGCTTATTCTGGAATAGACAGGAAAGACCTATCCTCCTTCAGGACAGACTTTTCTCCTGCCAACAGACAGTGTGATAGACATCAAACTTTCAGATGATAAGAGGGCCAAAATTGTGAAATTAAAGTCACAATCTTCTCATGCTTTGGCTTCCTTTTTGGTAGGAGGAAAAGAGATTGATCCCAGAATAGTGTGAGATGAATGACAATATTTGATTTAAAGATAGAAGTAGATATGAATGCCCAGTGAGTTTCCAAACTAGCAATATAATTTTGATAATATTCCTTCAATCCTACATGGGCCCTGTTTGTTACACATAAAAGAAAATATTCTGTAGTAAGAAAAAGCACAAAATACAGGGATGATTAGAGATTTGAGGAGGTACAATATTCTTCATACATTTTCTGGAAGCAAACCAGAAAAAATATGGACTGTATTTATCTGTTTTGGTGGTATTGGGGTTTGAACTCAGGGCCTTTTGTACTTGCTAGGCAGGAACTCTGCCATTTGAGCCACACCCCCAGCCTTATTTTGCTATAATTATTTTTCAGATAGGGCCTTGTGTTTATGCCTAGGCTTGAGTGAAACATGATCTTCCTATTTACACCTCTTGTGTAGCTAGGATGACAGGTGCACACCACCACACTGAGGTTTTTTATTGGTTGAGATGGAATTTGGAGGACTTTTTGCCTGGACAGGTGTTGAATCCATATACCTGAGAAGTTCTGATTCCTGAGTAGTTAGGATTACAAGTGTGAACCACCATGCCCAGCATGGACGTAATTTTAAAATATAAACCTACATGGAAATTTAAATTGCAACTTAGCAAATACCTTAGTAGTAACTGTTTCAAGCAAGGAATACCAATGGATGCTAAAATTAGAGGGGAAAAGTCTGCTGAGAACCAATATATTTGCATACTTTATTACATTACAGCAGAGAAAGTTGGCAGGCATCATCCTAAATAAGTGATCAAAATTAATTACCACTAGTAATGAAATAAGTCAGCAATAAGTGCCCCCAGATATGATGTGTTGGGAAAAGAACATTTCTGTGGTATTCCTGCCCAAAAGGTCTAACCTTAATTTAAAAATGAGGAAGTATCAGACATTCCCTCATTAAGAAATACTTTACAAAAAACTGGTAGCACCTTCAAAAGTATCAATGTCATGAACAACAAAGAAGGAGGAAGTGTTTCAGATTAAAGAGAATTTGAGAGACATGACAATAAATATAATGTTTCATCCAGGATGTGATCCTGAACCAGAAAAAGGACATTATTGGGAGAATTAGTAAAATTTAGCTAAGGTAAAAAGGTTAAGTAATAAGTATTATATCAATGTTATTTCCTGATTTTGGTCATTGTATTGTGTTATATAGGAAATTAACATTTGGAGAATCTGTGTAAAAGTTATATAGAAATTCTTTGTGCTATTATTGCAAATTTTGTAAAGTGTGGTATTATTTCAAAGTTAAAAGTTGAAAAATGGGCTGGAGGTGTGGCTCAAGTGGTAGAAGACCTACCTTGCAAGCACAAAAGCCTTAAGTTCAAACCTCAGCACCATCAAAAAAAAAAAAAAAAAAAGCTGAAAAAATTTAAAATATAATGCTATTAATTCAATTGTTTTATTAAAATACTCAAGTCAGGGCTTAAGAGAGATAGAATGAAGCAAAATAATACCTCATAAGTTTTTTAAAAATTTTAATTGTAGTAACATGTTTTATTTAACCTAGTATCTCTAAAATATTATCATCTAAACAGGCAATCCATATAATTTTAAGTTATAAAAAAAGATCCAATATCTTTTTAGGCAACTGAAACTGAATTTAAAATTATATCCATTGAATACAACAAGCCACCAAAACCTATGAGGACAAAGTAAATGAGGAGATGGGAACATGACCATCTTTCAGTAGCCTTTAAAAAAAAATGTTTTTTTTTTTTTTTTTTTTGTCAGTGCTGGGAGAATGAATCCAGGGCCTGGAGATATATATATATACATACACACACACACACATACACACACACATATATGGACCCTCACAAAACACACATGCCCATGCATGTACAACTGTACTCACACCAACCAACCTGTACCTTAGGACTTCAAAGACAGGGATCTCATCCTTCACAAGGTAACCTGTTCTATTTCCATCTAAAAGCTCATCCAAAATCTACCACTCTGTTAACTTCTACCTACTGCCTTTAGATCTTGCTTAAGCTGGAAATTGTTATACAAAATAACTTTCTTATGTCATGGGTTTTACTTTTAGTATTTTATGTTTAAAAAATTTTTATACTGAGTCATAAAATGTTTCTGAAATTATATGCATACTTAAATAAAAATTCTCATAGCAAAAGTGATTAAAGTAAATAAAGATTATATAACATGAACAATCAACTTCAACAACAATAACAAAGGACTGAAAGTAATCTAGTATTGCTTTAGAGGAATATAATTTACTGTATCAGCAAAGCAACATTGTATAGTACAGAAACTACTAGAAGTTAGCAAAACTATAATCTAGTCACAGCTTTGTCTTTTGCTAGCTCTGTGGCCCTAACAAGTTTCTTACCCAGATAGGGTAAGAAACTTAGCAAAGGGAGTCAATAATTCACCACAGTATTTCTTTTCCCATACTGCATTCCTCTCCTATCATAGCTGCACCTTTACTAATAATAGTAAAATCATTAAGATTAACTACCATTATTAAAATTTCTTATAGGAAATCAATTAAAAACCCAAAAGGAAAGTAAGCATAAAGTATGCTACATATTCCTAGTAAATTACATAGGACATAAAAGAATAAGGCAATTTAAGAATAAAATAGTATTAAAATAAGGAGTGACACAGAGGTGGGATCACAGATTGCAACTAAGGGAAACCTACATGGGAGATAGTAGGTAGAAAAATTGCAGTCTGAAGCCAGCCCTGGGCAAAAATACAAGGCCCTATCTGAAAAATAACTAAAGCCAAAAGGTGGCAGTAAGGGCCTGCCAAGCAAGCTCAAGGTCCTGAGTCCATATCCCAGTACTGCCAAGAACTAAGGGCATAAGGATAAAACCTGTATCGTTAAACTCCCAAGAAGTGGCGACAGACAAGTACATGAGAAGTCAGAAACAAAGGCACATATAGAGGACATGGTGATTTGTAAACATTAGAAAACTTTACTCACTTCACTGCTATAATCCAAAGAAACAGGAGAGAAAACAGGATAGGAAGGAAAGGATTCTGTACTGATCTGAAAGAAGAGTGGTAAGTTATAAAGGGAAAAGTGGAAAACAAATAAATCACTGCCAGAAATACCAATCATCTAGTCATCCAAGTTCACAGTAAAATTGCCAGTAAGGGTGGAAGAAGAAAAGGTGTTAAAACCAATGCCAAGACCCACATGATTCTGCAGGGTAAAGTTATAAGTATCATCATCATCATCTGTGAGAAGGACCTGCTTGTCTTATCAAATTTATCAGGATGCTACCTAAAGCAGATGGGCCAAAGAGAGCATGGGGTCTACAGAAGCAAAGGTTAAAGTCTTAAGTTACTGTGACAGACATTTCCTCTATTTCACAGAAATCTCTCACATCAGCAAAGGAGGGTACTCTTCTTTGGAATTATCCAGTTCCATTTACCCAGACGGAACTGAAAAGATGGAAGAAAAAAAAATCAAAAGACAGAAGCAGAAGTACCTGAGCAGGGTAAGGAGCTTGTCCTCCAGGATACTGAGAAGGCATCTGTCCTCCAGGAAAGCCACCTATGTGTTAAAACAAACAAATAACAAACCCCACAAACAAACAGCACTGATCACTATGAATACAAAAACATGGGAACATGCATATAATGTTATTCAGTGGGATAATTTCTTAAAGTGTTATAATTTACTGAATGTAAAACCAACTTGGATCATAAGGACCTTTTTACTATTCCATGATTATGTAAGATCCTAACAAATAATTTTTTTCTTAAACACTTTAAGCAGATTCAATACTGATTTCATCTGGAATGATTGTCTGGATAGTTCTGGGGGTAGTTTCATTTGTGTACAGGAGTGGGCAGAAGTTGCTAAAGAATCTGCTTGTTGGCTTTGGGATTGACTTAATAGACAACTGGCTCCTCCTTTCCATTTGACTGATTACACTCTTCCATCAAATTAATATATTTCACAAAAACTTATATTTAAAATTATTTACAGAAATACGTAAGCATTCACAAAAGACTATCCCAAACATAAACTAATTATTCTTAATTGCAACTGAAAAGTTCACATTATCATGATACTGTTTCTTTCTGGACAGCTGGTACCTACCAGGTAATGGGACCTGTGCTGGGCTACCACCATAGGTCTGTGAAGGTGGCTGTGGATAGCCAGAAAAGCTTGCTCCACCAGGTGGGGCTCCAAATCCTTGGCCTGGAATAGGTCAATAAATTATACTGAAAGTCCTCATGATTACAGAGAAAACACAAAAACGCCAAAAACAAAAAAGAAAAACGCCTGCTGTTAACAGTTGAAAAAACATGCAAGTAATGCTATAATAGCAATCTTCTTGTCTATATTCACCTCATCAACTCCTTCTACATTAAAAAAAAGTTTAAGAGATGGGCACAGTGGTAGCACACCTGTAATCCCAACACTCATGAAGCAGAGGTAGGAGGATTAGGTGTTTGAGGCCAGCCTGGTCTATATAGTCACTTTCTCAAGAAATGAAAATTTATTATATTCTTTATTAATTTACAATACAAATTGCTAAGTTTTTTTTTTTGTAGGACTGGGGTTTGAACTCAGGGCTTCGAGCTTGCAAAGCAGGTACTCTACTGCTTGAGCCACACCGTGAGTCCATTTTTGCTCTAGTTATTTGGAGATGGGGTCTCAAGAACTATTTGCCTGATCAGCCTCCCAAGTAACTAGAATTACAGGTGTGAGCCACTGGGGATATTTTTTTTTCTATCTTCATGGAAAGTTGTCCTAAAGGTTATAATCATGCTAACTAAAGTACCTTAATCAGTTCTTAAAGTAACAAATAATCATGCCGAGTGTTGTAACACTGGCCCTTCATTACCATGAAATTTATTCCAATTCCTTTCACAGGAATTGGAATTTTTTTACCCTGCTCCCAGATTTCATGCCCTCTGAGACCCTTCATCAGTCTATCTTTCCAGTAGTCCACTGCTACCTAAGAGATTCTGATCTTTCATAAAACAAGCAGGAATGAAGAGGATAAGGGAGAGGAAGAAAAAAATACTCCAGCAATTCTGAATCACTGCTAATTCCATGACCCATAACTCACCTCCAGGATAGGATGGTGCCCCGCCTGGTTGTGGGGCACCAGGATAGCCTCCTGGGGCTGGATAACCTCCAGGTGCTGGGTAGCCTCCAGCCACAGGGTAGCCACCACTTGGAGCTGGTGGGTAGGCACCTCCTCCCATTGGAGGAAAGCCACTAGGATAAGGATACTGACCCGGAGGGGGGAAAGAGGACTCCTGACCTGCAGGCTGGAAAATCAGAAAAATGTTCAAATGAACATGATCAGAGAGAAAGATGATCTACTTTTAAAAGAGGAATGAAGATTGATATTAGAGTTCTTTAAGGTTTTTTTTTTACTTTTAAAAAAGATACTATTTTTGAGACATAGTCTTACTATGCAGTCCAGGCTGGCTTTGAACCTAAGGTCCTCTTGCCCTCAGCATCCTGAATGCTGGGATTATAGATATAAGCAACCATACTCAGAAAGTTTTTTACTTTTCAAAAATCTCATTAGAAGTCCTGGTTTAGCAGTAGTGTATTAGCTTGTAAGAACACTTTTTTTTTTTAAATCAGAGTTTAGCTAAATTTAACTCTACTCATAAATAGTGAGTCAGAACCAGGTTCTTATCAACCCTCAAGGCCGTAAGAACTAACAAAGCTCATGAGTTCCTTCCTTCTCCTAAGACATATTCAGGAGAGCTATATATGTTCACTTAATGTCAGGATATGCACATTATCATTCCCTATTTCGATTCCTCTTTGTAGTCTCTCCAAGTTAGATTATAGCCCCCCATACTACTTCGGAGTATAAACTGAAATAAGCAATTCTTATTTATGCCTCAGCTATGAGCTTAGGTCTCGGTGGGGCCAGGGCTCTTGATTCACTGCAATTTATGTGAGTCAAGCCTTTCTTAGTTATTTTACATCTTCTAACACAAAAGATAATAAATAGTGCATGGGATGGATTTAGCTTACACGTTTTATTGGCTCACAACGCATTGAAAATGTTTTTTCAAAAAAAACTTTCAAGTTTGAAAAACTTGGGCCACTTCACATAAAATACAGTTTCTGGCTTTATTCAAAGTATTGGAATATCTAGCAGCACTGGCTCTGTCTCCCTGTATGGCCATATTGGGTACAAGCTGAGCAGCTGCCAGCTTTCCACAGATGAAAGGTGTCTCTAGCTTCCCCACAACTCCTGCCTTCATTTACTACTCTACTCAGTACTTCTGGGCACTGGCGTTCATGACCCCCTGCCCCAGCGCTTCTGTAAGATCTCTCATGGACTACTCCTATGTGATACCTGTTTCAAGAATATGAGTTGTTTTTATAGCAATACTTACAGGATATCCAGGGAAAGGTGGGTAGCCTGTGGGGGGATAGCCTGGATATGACATTCTGTAATAACAATAAAAAATGTCCTCTGAAATTTCTTGTAAGTCTTAAGGTCTTTGAAGATACACAGAGACAGACTGACACACAATTTTAGGGTAGGCATCAAAATGTGGGTATTAGGGATTTATGCAAAGCTTATAAAATGCCTCTTCATTTGACCCTTTGTACCAATGGAACAGTAAAGGCTCCAACTTCATTCTCATACCATACAATTTTTGTCACATCTGAATTCTACTAGTACTATTATTTATGAAATTTTTTAGGCCAATTAATTTTCAAATTTATTTTGAAAGTATGCTTGGGGCTGGGAGTGTGGCTCAAGAAGTAAACCACTTGCTAAGAGCCCTTAGTTCTAAACCCGGTACCAGGGGAAAAAAAAAAAAAGTATGCTTCATGTATGTTTGTAAATCAAAAACTCACAGCAGTTTTCCTGCTAGAAATCAAAGGTAACAAACCTGGAATGGTATCATGCCTATAATTCCAGCACTCAGGAGGCTGACCCAGTATTCCAAGTTCAAGACCAGCCTGAACTACATATCAAGAAAAAAAAAAAAAAAGAAAGAAAGAAAAAGAGGAGGAGGAGGAAAAATAATAATGAATAGACATCTATTAAAATTAAAAAAATGCTTTTTAGGTGCCATAGAAAACTCTTTATAACCCCATCATGGTAAACAAAGGTGTAAGGGTTAAGAATTTACATTCTAGAGTCACACATAACCCAGATTAAACCCTGGCTTTCTTTTTTTATTAAACTTTTGTTTTGTTTTTTGTTTTTCTGAGATAGGGTCTCTCTATATAGCTCAAGTAGACCACAAACCACTATGTAGCCCAGCCTGGCCTTGAACTAGTGATCCTCAGCCTCCTGAGTGCTGGGATTACAGGTGTATGCCACCACACCTGGCTTTTCAAACTTTTAATTATGGAAAATTTCAAACACCAGTACAACACACACTCACAAATACAGATGCTAAGAAGCTGTGGAGATAGCTTGGTGGTAGCATGTGCATGCTTAGTATGCAGGAAGTCCTGAGTTTGATCCCCAGAATCATAGTGGGGAAAAAAAAAGCTAGTTAGGAGGCCTTCGTTATTAGCCTTCATCATTCCCACCAGACCACCATTAACATCACTACTTAAGCTACCTAATACTGTAATGAGTAAACCCAGTATCTTCTTATTTTTCCCATCATTTCTATTCCCAGGTCATATCCTTACACCATGTTTCATCACATGATACCTATCTAAGGAAAATTACTTCACCATTTATACTCTTGTTTATACTTGCTCACCTTTCCAATTTCATGGACATCATCATTAGTGGACCTCTCCTAAAATGCTGCTCCTTGGTTTTTGTGGATTTTTTTGGTGGAACTGGGGTTTGAACTCAGATCTTCTCAATTGCACAACAGGTACTCTACCACTTGAGCCACACCTCCAGTCCATTTTGGTTTGGTTATTTTTAGAGATGGGGTCTCAAGAACTATTTGTCCTGGTTGGTCTCAAACCTTAGTCCTCCTGATCTGTCTCCCAAGTAGCTAGGATTAGAATTCTGCTCTTTAAATAAGTTGCTCTTTAGCTCAAAAATCATCAATGACTACTACTGGAACATGAACTAAAAATTCACTAGCAGGGTTGGGGATGTAAAAAACAAATCAGCGGTCTGACATTCGGGTCTCCTTAGTAACCTCCTAGTGTGAGACCTACACCACTGAGCCGTCCTTCCTTCAGTGTGCTCTGCTCAACCTACTACATTAAGTGACTGGCCCCAGGCTTTCATCACTCATCCCTCCTGACTTATCTAGCGCTAATCCTCTCTCCCTTCTTCACACAAGGCAGTGGACAAAAGCTGTGTTTCCCAAACTTTAATATGTATGTGAACTACCTGAGGATCTGGTTAAAATGCAGACTCAGATTCACTAGTTCCAGGACAGGGACTGAGACTATGTTTCTAACAAAACCTCTAGGTGATGCTGATTCTGCTGCGAATTATACTTTGGGATCATAATATTTTGGCTAGTTTGATACATTTGTTTATCTATTTGAGGTACTAGGGTTTGAACTCAGGGCCTTGTACTTGTTAGGCAGGGGCTCTACCACTTGAGTCACACCCCCAGCCGTTTTTGCTTTATTTTTGGAATAGTGTTTTGTATTTATGCCCAGGCTTGCCTGGACTGAGGTCTTCCTATTTACATTTCCCCAACAGCTAGAGTGACAGGCATGCACCACCACACTCAGCTTTTTATTGGTTGAGATGGGATCTCACGAACTTTTTGCCAGGTATGGCTTTGATCTTCCCTATCTACAACTCCAGAGTAGCTAAGATTACAGGAATGAGCCAACATACCCAGTTAGTTTTAAAGTACATGTTTTGGTACATCTCAATATAGCCATAAACGATCCATTTTTCTTTTACATCAAGATACCAAACAAAGATGCCCAACAAATCCAACTCAATTCGACACTTACCAAAACCCATTCTATAATAAGCACTATCTTATGTGCTGATAAAAAGGTAGGGAGAGGGGGAGACATATCTACCCTTTTAAGTACACAATATTGAAAAAAGATACACGTCTGTTTTTAGCGTCCCTTATAATGAGATAATAAAGTTGCTATTACAGAGTCCTTTATGATATAAACACAGGATAGAAGCTAAAAGCTTGCTAAATTGAGAATGAATGTACTCTATCAAAGTTGTAAGTCAGTAAAAAAGAAAACTGACCCAGTCAGTTCTCACATAGTCATTTGGAATCTGAAGATCTAGGTGTAAAAACAATCAGGCTAAATGTTTTTTGCTTTCTTCTTCTCTATACATGGTTGATATAAGGACTAAAGGCAGGATGACAGCTCCTAAAGAATAGTCAGATGGACAAAAGGCAAAAAGGGGTCAGAGTGGAAAGGGAAAAATCTGAAAATTTATGAGATAAATAGTTTTAAAGGGCGGGGCACCTATGGCTCACACCTGTAATCCTAACTATTCAGGAAGTAGAGATCAGAAGGATCATGGGTTTGAAGCCAGTTCCAGGCAAATAGTTTGCAGTACCCTAGCTCAAAAAAATCCACTACAAAAAAGGGCTAAGGCAGTGCCTCAAGTGGTAGAGTGCTTGTCTATCAAGCATGAGGTCCTAAGTTTGAACCCCAGTGCTGCCAAAAAACAAACAAACAAAAGCTTTAAAAGTTACAAGAAGTAGTTGCAGGATCAAAGACTACATAAACAATTTAAAGTTCTAAGTCTCAAGAAATGATTCAAGTGATAGAGTTCTACTTCTACATTTTTGAGCTATTATATATTTAAGGGCCTCAAGGAATTCAAAGCAGAATGAAAATAAAGCAAAGACTATATATAAGAAAATTGGAAACAACTTTAAAATAGTGAATTTCAGAAAATTTTGAAAAAATGTAATTATACAAAGGACCAGAATGCAATTGCATTTCCAATCATGTATGTTATAGAAATACTTCCACAAATGCAAATTTATGTTCGAGGCTATTCCTTTCTTTTGTAATAGGAAAAGGTCAAAAGCAATGTAAGCATCCATTAAGAGACAGGTGAAATACAACTATTAAAAAATAAGGCAACTTTTTAAAACCCATATGGGTTTTCACCTTGCTTTTCTTCACTTAATTTGTTGGAGATGGGTTTTAAACCTGCATAAGTACTGTATGTGTAAAAAAATACACTAATTTTTTATGTATAAAGTATCTCTGAAACAACACACAAGGAAGTAGAAAATAGTGGCTGTCCTGGAAGGCAAGCTCGGGAATAATGAGAAGGAAATATATTTTTCAACTTCCTTTCAGTTCCTTTAAAACTGCAAATGGGGATAGAGGTGGTGGTGCACACCTGCAGTCCCAGATACTCTGGAGGTAGGAAGATCCTGGTCCAAGGCTGCAAGGGGCCTGAGACCCTACATGAAAAAAACAAATCAAAGCAAAAAGGGTGTGCGATATGGCTCAAGTGGTAGAATGCTTGCCATAGGCTGGGAGTTCAAACCCCAGTACCAGCAAAAAAGAAACACAAAAGGGCAAAAATTATTCAAAAGGTAGACTTCAAAATTTTTTATAAAGCGTTTAGAACCCAGGTGGCTCAGCAATTTACTCAACTTTGCTCAAGTGAATAGTAAGACTCTATTGGTGAGCAGAGCTTTTATTTTCCTTTTAACATTCTGTCAGAAACCACTTTTAGAAAAGTAGATCATTCTTGGTTCTTCAAAGCATCTCCACCCAGTGAGTCAGCTAGTAATAGGGTGGGTCTCTCTATGGGAGTCTCCTAGATGGCGTGAAGCCCAGGAACACAAGAGGCAGCTGTTGCAAATTTAGAAGGAAAAAAACCAAAAATCCAAAAAGAAAGAAAAAAAAAAAAACAAAAAAAACACCGAGGAAGTGTGACTTAAATTGGGAAACAGAATTTTGCAAAACCTGCCTGTAGGTCTGGAAGGACTAGTTAAATGAGTCCGTTTGGAAGCATGACTCCGCATAGACACAGGTAAGGCAGCCACCCACCCAATAAGCACTGAAAGGCGGCTTAAGTTTGCAGTGGCCAAAATTATCTATGCTACCTGCCTGTCTACTGCTTGAAACACCTTTCTTGCCTGAGAAATTTCTCATTAACTCGGAATGTCATTAGGTCAGATTACTTTTATCAGGCCAGCTCGCTATCAGCTGGCAGCAATTAAGAACATTTGAAGACAGTCGGAAGACAGTGCTTATCTTCTCGCTTCTGTCCCTTTCTGGTGGCCATCGGCCACCTTTCTGAGCACTTGGGTTTCTTTGGGAAGTGTGAGCACAGGATGAGCTGCTGTCTGCACAAGTTTCCTGCTGGTCAGGAACAGGAATCTAATCTGCAATGCTACTTCCTAGAATCGTTTCCAAGAGCTGTACTAAGCCAGTATAGTAGCGGGCTTGGGAGTTAGCGCTAGGGCTCGCCAAGCACATCACAGATTTCCCAAGTCCCCGTAAATTTTTTGTGTCACCAGAAAAATCAGACTTGGGGGCTTCCTTATAGCCTCCCTGGAGATGGCTTCAGCAGAGCCACTCTCGGGCCTCAGCCCCTCCACCTTAGGGTCCACCTGCCACTGCTCTCGGCGACCCCCCGCGCCAAGTGTCACCGAGGACTAGAAGAGGATTTATCGGTCTTCTCCACGCCCTGCGGGCCGCGGGCCCAGACCGTCCCACCGCCCAGCGCCCCCGCCCTCCAGCCCGGTTCCCGCCGCCACCCCGAGGCCCGGCGCGAGCACACGCAGAATCCTCCGTGCCCGGACGGTGGACTACAGCCGGCGGGGGGCGATGTAACCGAGACCGAGGGGACCGCGGCAACGAAGGGGCGTCGTTCCTCACCTGACCCGGGAGCAGCGTCACAGCCCGACCCGCGCTCGCGCAAGATGGAGCCCGGGCGGGCCGGGCCGGGCCGAGCCGGCGGAGGGCGGGGGCGGGACCGCCGCGCGAGCCCGTTAGGACGGCGGCCGCCGCGGGAACGCCCCGGGCCGGCGCGAGGGGCGGGCAGCCCAGCCGGTTCTGTCACATAGCTCTGTTCCCGAGAGCCGCTCCACGCCCTCGTGCGCAGTCACAGAGGGCTGGCGGCGGTCCTCTTCCGTGGTGGGCGGCACAGGCCAGCAGGGCGGCCTCACGACCTCCAGAACGCTGTCCTCCAGGTGTTTCTGTGGCAGTGGGAACCGAGGTTGCCAAGAAACCACTCCTTCCGAAGGGCCTGGTTAGGCCTTGCTAGGTCTCACGCATCAAAGCGAGAACACACACTAGTCCTAAACGTTTGACGTTATTAGGGCTCAGACCAATACCTTAAACTCGCCAAGGAATTAGTCAGTGGTTCTTAGAGGGTGGGGTCTCCAGAGCTCGGACATCACCTGGAGTCTTTCCTTAGAAATTCAAATGCTTAACCCCAGGGCCACTAAAACAAGCAAAACAAAAAGGCAAACCCCACACATTCTTGGATTTCATCTTAGACTCACTGAAACCGAGCTCCCCTGGTGGTGACCAACAATCTGCTTTAACAAATCCATCAGTGGTTCTGACGCACAGAAGTTGAGAATCATCAATTTATTACTCTACATGCTTTTCTATCTAAAAGCTTCCTCATGGGGGTTGGGCATGGAGCAGGCCAAGATTTCAAGTGGAAGTCGGACGCCGGTATCTCATGGGGGTGGTTCTAAGCCAGCCTGGGCAAATAGTTTGTGAGACTCTCTCAAAAAAAACAAAAAAGGGCTGCTGGAGTGTCCCGAGGTGTAGACCTTGAGTTCAAGCCCAGTATCACTCACACACACAAAGTGGAAGGACCAAGGTATGAGGAGGCCCCAAATGGGGTAGAACAGAAAGTACTTGAGACAGTATACTACCAAATTTAACAATGGTAGATAAAACTGCACCACACCCTGGATTGCCAGCATTAATTCCCTAGCTCCTATCATCTGAATACCTGCCCCAGAGACTTCCAGAATGGAAGCATTTCCTAAGAAGCCTGTTCTTACTGTTAACTCCAACCCCTCTGTTGGTAAGTTTATCCTCACTCTACCCTCTGCCTCATCACTGTTCAGAGTATTTTCCAAACCTCTTATTTACCTAGCTGTAGGCCCAAATCCATCAGTCTGTTAAAGCACTATCATTTCCCATTTTTTCCTTTTTTCAACTAGTCCTTTCCTGGCATAGAAGGTTCTCTAGGATCAGAGGCCCTTTCCTTGAGCTTCCTGTCTAAAGGCACTGCTCACATTTTTAACAGCTATTCATCTGCTTAGACTAAACTCTGAAGGCTCCCATTTCTTTCTTCTTCTTTTTTTTTTTGGCATGCAAGAACTTTATTGAAAGAAAAGTGCAATTTAACTTGTCAAAAGCTTAAAATAAAGGGGAAATTTAGAAACCTCCCCTCAAGCACAGGACCAAGTGCAGGGTGGACTCCTTCCGGATGGTGTAGTCAGACAGGGTACGACCATCTTCCAGCTTCTTGCCAGCCAATATCAGCCTCTGCTGGTCAGGGGGGATCCCTTCCTTGTCCTGGATCTTTGCCTTGACATTCTGGATGGTGTCACTGGGCTCCACTTCCAGGGTAATGGTCTTGCCAGTCAGGGTCTTCACGAAGATGTGCATTATCAGCGGTGGTGGAAGCAAGGTTCTCAGAAAACAAACGACCGAATTCGCAGCCTCAACCACACTCTCCCATTTCTTTCTGGTCCAAGAAACCTTTTTTCTTTTTGGGTGATACTGGGGTTTGAACTCAGGGCTTCCTGCTTGAAAAGCAGGCGCTCTATTGCTTATGCCAGGTATGCAGTACATTTTGCTCTGTTATTTTGGAGATAGGGTCTCGTTAACTATTTGCTGGGGTTGCTTTCCAACCACACTTTTCCCAATCTCAGCCTCCCAAGTACCTAGGAACATAGGCATGAGCCACTAGCATTCAGCTCCAAAGAAACTTCCAAGAGATCTCTTCTTTGCCTTCCTTTGGTTAATTTTTGCATCCAGCTGGGCCTTTTATAGATGTCTACCATGATACATTTAACAGTAGACTCGGAGAACATGTGCTTTAACTTACCTTTATTCAAATTCATAAACTTAGCAAAAACAAAAGATCATGTGAAATAGGAGCTATGGTGCTTCTCCTAATGTGAACACTTCACTGTATCTAAGTGCACATACTTTTTGTACAATTGGAAAACTAATTTTGTTCCTCAGGTACACTTGACAATGTTGGGAGACTTTTGGTTGTCACAATTGGGGATGGGTACTAGCATCTAAATGGATAGAAGCCAGGGATGCTAAATATCCTACAATGTCTACAATGTTGTAAGATGCCACTAAACGTTCTACAGTCCCTATAAAAAAGATTTGGCCCCAAATGTCAATAGTGCTGAGGCTGAGACCCTGAGTCACCATGATCTTGCTAAAGAGTAAACTAAGTCCTGCCATTTTTTATTAAATCTTTAAGACCTCCCCCACTGGAGCTAGAATAAGATCTAACCTTCTGACCATAACGTGTTAGGCCTTAAATGATCTGGTCCCCATCTAACTCTCTCATCTCCTCCTTCATCATCCTCAATGACTAAACTCTGGTTACAGTGGCTTTTGTTCAAACATTACGCTTGTATCCAAACAAGCTTATGACTCCTACACTTCTATTGCTTCAGAATGTTCTCCACTGTCATGTCAAATGTCATCTCCTCAGAGGTACTATGAGCATTGTAGCATTAGTAACTATCACCACTACCAACACCACTAATAGTGATATGTCTCTATCTATATACCTTTACCCTACTTAATTTTCTTTGTAATATTTAAATGCATCTGAAATTGCATTTACTGTTTGTCTCTCCCAACAGAACCTAAGTTCCCTGAAGACAGGAAGCTAACAGTGTTAAATAACTGGCACCCAAACCCCAAGGTATTTCATGATGATTAAACAAATTTATTTGCAAAACTGGTGGGTGGGGAGGGCTGGCTCTGATAAAACTGAGAGGACCTGTGGTAGTATTGTCCAAAAAGATTTGTAGTTTGAACATGAGTTTTTCATTTCATATGCTGATTTCAGAAAATGTAACTCTATTATAATGTCCTTGCTTATGGCAGTCTCTTATTAATAACTGGGCAGAAGTTTAAGGGCAGATGTTGTTGTTTTATAATCCTAACATTTAGCATGAAACTACCCATTTGAATTTATATGTACTATCACCATCACTCTAAGTTGGAAAATCTTGTGTCACCTTTTACTGGGTTTTTGTCTCCTGATGAAATATGTAACCCCTCACCACAATCAGTAGAAAAATGCTACAGATTCTATTTTCATGTTCTATCCACAAAGTGTCACATATACTTAATTTGTTATAAATCCCTTCTTTCCATGCTTTTACCTGCATTACCTCATCTGAACCAGGACAATATGTCCCAACTTTTTTTTTTTTTTTCAATTACCAAACCATCCTAGTACTGCCATTCTGTTTCTGAGCAAAATTCAAAGTGGTATATATTTAACAATGGCTATTACTAAGATCATAGTAATGCAGTAACCTCTGCTGGCCACAGAGGTAAACATCTAACAAATATTCTCATTTCTTACATTCACTTATACAAGATTTTTTTGTAAACAGCTTTATTGATATATTCATGCAAGGTATACAACTCAACGGTTTTTGATACTGTCAAAAGCACATCCATCACCACAATCAGTTTTAGAGTATCAATCAAAAGAAACCCCATACTGCTTAATCATCATTATCCCCATTCTGCCCATGGATTTACTTTCTGTCTGAACATTTCATATAAATGCACTCATACAATGTGACCTTTTGTGGTTTGGGGGCTTTTTGATGGTTGGTACTGATGTTTGAACTCAGGGCCTCAGGCTCGTTAGGTAAGCACGCTAACATGTGAGCCACAGCCTCAGTCCTTTACTACTTTGTTTTTAAGTAGGATCCTTTGCTTTTGCCTGGGTTGGCCTCAAACCATGATCCTCCTATCTTTGCTTCCCAAGAAGCTGGGATTACAGACTTGTACCACCATACTCAGCCAATGACCGCTTCTTTCACTTAACATGTTTTCAAGGTTCATTCATGTTACAGCATGAATTAGTACTCCAATCTTTTCTATGACCAAATAATATTTCTCTGCATGGACATACCATATTTGCTCATCCATAACTGGATGGAAAACTGGATTATTTTTAGCTTTTACTCTTTTGTGCCTAAATATAACCTTGTTCCAAAAATAGTGTTATGCCATAATAAGGGGACTAAGGTAGAGAGGAGAAAAATGGAGGGGATGAACAAATTCAGGATATAATACATAAATGGAAATGTCATAATGAAACTGTATAGATGCCTTAAACAAAATGCCTTTATTTTTCTCAAAAGGGAAGGACAGGAAGGTAAAACAGATCCTGTCTGAGGTTGGTACCAGTGGGAGGGGGGAGGATATAAGTAAAGGGTGTGAGAGGGCAACTATGGTGGCAAAATGAGACCTGTTGAAGTTTTTCTAAAAATGGGGGGAAGGATGATAAAGGAGAATGATGGAGAGGGTGAATTTAAGACATATTGTAAGCACTTTTTTAAGTATCACTATGTACCCCCAGTAAAACAATAGGGTAAATTTTTTTTAAAGAAGTGTTGTGAATCCCACTTTGTAAATCACTCCAAAATGTTTGTGTAAGCTGGCACCAGGAGTTCATGCCTATAATCCTAGCTATCTAGGAGGCTGAGATCAGGAAGATCGAGGTTTAAGGCTGACCCAAGCAAATTTTTTGTGAGATTCAATCTCCAAAATAATCAGAGTAAATGGGCTGAAGGTTTGGCTCAAGCAAGTAGACTGCCTGGTTTGCAAGCCTGAGGCCAGTTCAAAATCCAGTCCCCTCCACCAACACACAAAAAGTTTTTGTAGTAATCCTTCCCAATGCTTATTAAATGTTTAGCTAAATTAAAGCGATTTCAATCGTTCATATTCAAAAGACAAATCATTACATGCTAACTTTTTCTATTTTGAGACAGAGCCACAACCATGCCTGCCTGGCTCACCTTTTGGCTATTATGAATAATGCTGCTATGAATATTCATATATAAATGTTTTCATTTCTCACAAGTACATATCTATGACTGGAAATGCCTGGATTAAATGGTAGTTCAATGTTTAGCTTTTTGTGGAATTGCCAAACTGCTATCCAGAATGTACCATGTTATATTCCCACCAACAGTGTTATGAAGGTCCCAATTTCCCCAAACTTGTTATGCTTTATTATAAGCATTGTATTATATGTCATTGTGTGTAATTTTTTTTGTGCTGGGGTTTGAATCTAGGGCCTCACGCATGCTAAGCATGTGCTCTACCACTGAGTTATACCCCAGATTCTCATGTAGTTTTGATTCCTATTTCCTTTTTTTTGGTAGCATTAGGGTTTGAACTCAGGTCCTCACGCTTGCCAGGCAGGCACTCAACCACTTGAGCCACTCCACCAGCCCTATTTTGTGATGGGTTTTTTTAAGAAATAGTTTTTTTTGCTAACTATTTGCCTATGGCTGCCTTCAAACCGTGATCCTGATCTCTGCCTCCTGAGTAACTAGGCTTACAGGTGCCCAGCTTAATTCCTATTTCCTAATGACTAATAATGGTGGGCATCTCTGCATGTGCTTATGTGCATGTACTACTGGAGATTGAACTCAGAGCCTTGCATTTGTTAGACCATTTATCTTCATTGGAGAAATGTCTGTTCAGACCATTTGTCCATTCTATAATTAGGTTGTCTTTTTTTTTGTAGTAGTAGTAGTAGTAGTAGTGGGGTTTGAATTCAGGGCTTCATGTTTGTCAGACAGGTACTCTATCACCTGAGTGACGCCTCCAGTCTTAGTTGTCCTTTTAAATTCTAAGAATTCTTAATATATCCAGAAATTACATAGTTCAGCATAAAAATCCCTTATCAGATACATGATTTATGAATATAGTTGTCCTTTAGTATCTAGGTGGGACTGGTTCCAGGACCTATGGCAGATACTAAAACACATGATGGTCAAGTCCCTAATATAAAATTGCATAGTACATCCATACTTGCACATACTCCTGTACTTTAAATCACCTCTAGATTATGTGTACTGTCTAGTACAATGTAAATAAATCCTATGCAGATAGTTATATTGCACTGTTTAAGGAATAATGACAAGAAAAAAGCCTGTAGATTTTTTCTCCCCTACTATTATAAATCCTCAATTGGTTGATTCCATAGAAATGAGACCCATGGATGAAAGGTTATTTATTTATTTAGTGGCACTGGGGTTTGAACTAAAGGCCTCAAGCTCAGCCCTTTTGGGTTTCACTAATTATCCACCTGGGACTAACTTCAAATTGCAATCCTCCTGATCTCTACCTCCTGAATAGCTAAGATTATAGGCATTAGCCATAGTGCCCAGCTACTTTTGCTTTTTATTAGGGTTTGAAATTTGGATGTGAATCCTCTAACTTTTCAAATATTTTCATTTACATCTTAATATATCTTTGGATATTAGGTATTATCCAAGTTTTACAAATAAGGAAATTAAGAATTAGAGAAGTTTCACTTGGGGCACAAAAGTATTTGTTTCATACTTAGATCTATGTAAGTCCAAAGCTGACCAGTAGCTAAGTCCAGTCTATAATGTGATCCCAATCTACTTTTTAGACTTACTTTATACTAACCCCTAAATGTTTCTTCTCTCTGCTTTTCTGCCTCCAAACTTCCATTCCCATTATTCCTTCTCAGGCAGGCTAGACCTAGGGAAAGTTCGGGACTCTTAAGTAGGTGCCCAGGGATGGTTCAGACCACCCTTACCATGCTAGGAACTGTCCATGCTCCAACCCACTCATTGATTATTGGATGGAATTCACCTGGTTCCTTCCTTCCCAGAGATTAGCATAAATTTTAAAAACACCTGAAAAAGAAAAGCATGCTATCAGCAGACTCCACCTGCACCCTACCATGCTCCCTTTTGTATTTCCCTTTCCTAACATTTAATAAACTCCCTTTACAGCCACATGTCCTGCCACGGATTCTTCCCAGTGGGACAAAGAATTTGGAAGTCTTCTGATCAGACTGTTCCAGCACCATTAATACTTCCATTTCTAATTCTCTGTCCTTGATTTCATAAAATTTTAATTCATGTTATCTTCACTATCACTTATCAATGTGATCTCTCTTTTTACTCTATTTCCTTATCAATCCTAGCCTTATATTTCTTTTTCCATATATTTTGCAATAAAGGTATCATAATATGTATATATACATACATATTATTTCATTTCCTACATTAAGAATATGGACCATTATCTTATTCACTTTTTGGTCTCTCCAGAGCAGCAATATCGTATATTTCACATAATAGGTACAAACTAACTTTGGCTTTTTTGTTGTGGTTACTATCACAACATGGGATTGAACTCAGGGCTTCTTGCTCTTGAGTCATACTCTGAGTCTTAACTAATTGTTTTCGAATGAATAAATGAATTAGAAGATTACCCCAGAGGAGTAGGCAATAAGAATATTGTGTGTGCTCGCACAAGGTTTTGTGTGTAGGTCATGTCAAGGTTATAGAAATGAGTATCTCAGGGAATTTCCTAATCCTGAGAGTGTGATAAGAGAAGGGTAATATGTAGATAAGAGAAGGGTAATATGAGACAAATGTGTGGTAGTGCAGCGGTCCAAACAGAGAGCTGATCCTAATCATTTTCTGGGCAAGAGAGAGAAACCGCTAATCTTGAGGTATTGTGTGCAGATGACTAATACTTGCCAGTAAATACAAGTAATACAGTAAAAACAAGATAAAACAAGTGATTTAAGAAACCCCAGGTAGCCAGATGCAATACCAAGTGCCTACAGTCCCAGCTACTTGGGAGGTTGAGGCAAAAATGTTGCTTCAGCCCAAGAGTCTGGGACCAGACAGGATAGCATATCCTGTCACTTAAAAAAAAAAAAAAAAAAGAAGAAGAAACCGCAAACTAAGCTTATTGTGAGAACAAGGAATAACAACTTCACTATATTCAGGTGAAATCTGATATACCTTGGGATATCTAAAAATACAACACCAAGGCATTCTAGGGACAGAATTCTCCAAAAACCAGTAGGAAAATTAGATTTCTTAGAAAAAAGCAGGAAATAACAATGTACACCAACTCTTACAATGTTCCCTAACAACTTCCCTGACTTGTCTACTTTCAAGTCATTTACGCCTCCATTTTTTAGCCCGAATCTATATAAAAGGAAGTCCTTTTCAGAATAAGGTGGTTCTCATTCTTATCTTCACTACCATACAGTTCTAGCCAATAGGTGTAACTTCCTCACAAAGGAAACTATAAGAAACTCTAGATTCTTGATAGATTGATACCAACGAACTTCAGAAACTTATCTCTAAAACCCTCTTAATCTTTTTTTTTTTTTGAGACAGGGTCTCACTATGTAGCCCAGGTTAGCCTACAACTTGCCATCCTTTGCCTTCAGCCCCCTAAGTGCTGAGCTATAACCAGCTATAACTATAAACCACTTAGAAATGAGTCACATCATATTAGAATGCTCATTACTTTAGAATCTTTACCTGAAAGGTGAATGAGCTTTAGGATAGAGTAGGTTTCAAAGTTGGCAACAAAACGAACAACAGCAAAAAAAAAAACAAACAAACAAAGAAAGCAACAATTTGATATCAGCAGGGTAATTTCATCTCAACCTCCCCATTTTCTGGGTATCTACTAAGGATCTGATTCAGCAATTTAAACTCCATCATTCATTTTCTCTTCTAATTGCATCTTATCTGGATGGCAGGAGCTTCCAAGAAACATGATGTAGCAGGCACTGCAGTATACTGGCTGCTTGTTGGGGTTAGAATAGACCTGCTCAGGTTTGAGGGATCTGAAAGGATTAGCTCCATAGCTAATGATGTATACATCCAGGTCCACCAGAATCTGCAAAGAGGCTGCCAATTCCTGTTGGCTGTGGGAGAAAGACATGAAAAATTGCTCTACTGATTATGAGAGGTAGATAGAAATTTCTCAAGAGAATGACATTTCTGTACTTATCAGTTCCCAAAATTACCTAATGCTGGACTAGGTAAGGACTATCTTTTCCTCCCAAATGTCTCACTTAATCTTGATTAAGTAACATAGGACTTTGTTCTGAGGGGATAAAAATGCCACATTAGGGAAAGGAAGAATATCCTCCCAAGATAGAGGGGCATAGGGAAGTATCACAAATAGGAATAGATCAAAGCCTCCCTTTAGGAGATGGAGACTGAGAAAACTGAAGTTCAAAGCCAACCCTGGGCAAACAGTTCCCAAGACCCCATATCTCAACCAGTAAAAGCTGGGTGTGGTGGTGCGTGCTTTTCATTCCACCTACATGGGAATATATGGGAATACATGGGATATAACAGTCCAGGCCAGCCTGGGCATAAATGTGAGACTCTATTAGAAAAATACCTAAAACAAAAAGGATTGGGGGCATAGCTCAAGTGGTAGAGAGCCTGCCTAGCAAACATAAGCCCCTGAGTTTAAACCCTAGTAACACCAAAAAACCCAAATAAACCTGTAAACAGTAATCAATGTAGGGATTTCATAGTCACGAAGCAGCAGCAAGGTAGGGAGCCACGCTTCCATCAAGACTGGGGAGGCATGGAAACCTACGGAACAAAAATGGGAATGGGAGTAGAAAGGGGGGAAAGGCTGAGATAAACCTAAGAGCAAGATACTTCAAGTATATCTACCCCAACCCTCATGTTACTTATTCCCAATACTTGTCATCATCATCTACTTTCGTTCTTCAATAAAATATTCTCAACCTAGGCCTACTATATATGGGAAATGATCAACCAAGGTCATCATCCTATTGTGTTTAACAAGGCTAAATGAACAGGGATCCAAAGATAGAAGATATAAAAGGCAGAATAGAAAATTCTCAGGGGAGCCACCCAGTATTCCTCTGAAGTCAATGGTTCTCACCTGGATGGAATGCCACCACCATATCTGGATGGGCTATGTGTCCAGTCTCTACCTGCTCCTCCCAGAAGTCATGATAGAGGCCCCTGTGGCCACTAAGCTGAACTGTACCAGGTTCCAGGGGTGAAGTTGAGGTGCTCTGTAAAAAGCCAGTAGCCACATCCACACCTACCATGATTACATGAAAACCAAGGTGCCCAGGAAACATGTAGCCAAGCTCATCATAGTCTCCAGAATGAGTGAGAAGTGTCTCCACATGGGAAGCACCAACCACATGCAATGTGTTTCCCCCAGTCTTTCCAATATCTATCCCCAGGGCCCTAAGTCCTAGGCCCAGTGTCAAAGGCCGTGACAAGGCATCTGTCAGCAGCCTCTTCAAAGAGTCCTGTAGGACATCCGGGTCTGGCCTTGGCCTTCCTGCACTGGCCCATAGGTTGGTCATAGCATGGCTACCTAGCACAGCATCTAATGTAGCATCCAGCTGTAACCCCCTCATAGAAAACCAGGTGTCCCAGTCTTGAACAACATCAACAGGCCATGACCAAGGTCCTGATGGTAGGATAAAATCACCTGCAGGGAAGAAGGAATAAAAAGTGACCTAATTATTCTCTGGTTTCAAAAATTCAATCCTCACCATTGACCAATAATTCTTCCACATTCATCCCGCCAACCTGTAACCATAAGTGCCCCATCCCTTGCCCCAGTTCTTTATCTTTCCCTCCTAACAACATGCTTCCGTATCTTTCTCCAAGTACAACCAACAATGACGACTGTGGCAGAGTTCCCCAACAACCACCACTCCACCTGTGACCAGAAGCCATTCCATGAGACGATCCACAGCCACAAGGCGAAGCTCTTTACACACTTTCCTGTGTGACGGCCAGTCTAACCTCTGGCACTCTGGACCGCAGTAATAGACATTTCTGCACCTGAGAGAATGAGTCACAGAAAAATGTGTTCCTATACCATAAAAGTGACAGGGTGTGTCCAGGAAATGGAAACTAGGACACTTGTACCTAGGAAGAAAGATCAATGAATGGGTAAGGATGGTGTGGAGAATAACAGTTGATGCAACAAATGTGACGACTGCAATGACAGGAGAGGCAGAAGGGATTGGGAATGCAATTATTCTCTCAGGATGATACCTCAGGCTCTATTTATCAGAAACAACTTATTTTTTATTCTCAGAATAATATCTTAGGCTCTATCTGGAAAAACTTACTTTTTACATCTCTTTCAAAAAAAATTAAAGTAAGAATTTGCAATTGCTCTCTCTTAAAGGTATGATTTCAACCTCAATCTAACCAGAAGTGATGTGGTCTTATCTCTTAAGAGTTCAAAAAGAGAGAGCAGGGAAGAGTGTATTTTAGTCTCTTGTCTCATCTCCTCACAACACCAAAATGAGGATTAGAACCGTATTCTAATCTTTCTATAGCCTATATCACACAAGGATAAGGCTTAAGTTATTCTGAAAACTCTCAGACATTTCCTCTTGGAATGAAGATTTAATATAGAGTCATTTCTGAATGTCTCCCTGATTAGTACCCCACAAGTCACCTCATACAGTGTCGAAGAACCTTAGAATCTGAAAGTCCACTAGGGAGGGCTTTACAGTGAGCACAGAATCGGAATGTGTCCTCCATCCTCTGGAACATTTCTTGAGGACACTGAAATCCAAAGCCTGATGCAGGTGTACCCCCATCTACCACCAGCCTGTAGAGCATGGAAAAAGAATGACAACAAGAAAAAGGAGTATTTCAAACAATTTCTCATGTTCCCCCTTTGCCTACCATACATTTTCACAGACTCCTATGTCTCTTAACTCCCATCATTTATTTAAGCAAATTATATTTCTTCTGTAATAATATAACTGGCCAAACTTAGGATGAGAAAGTCCCTCATTACAAATACCCCATCTTGGTAGGGTAAAAGAAAGAAATTAAGAAGGCAAATATGGTTGATGTATTCTGTATATAATAATGAATACAGAATTTTTAAACTGGTTGAAACTGCCTTAAGAAAGGGACTAAGGTAGAATGAAGAAAAATAGGAGATGAACCAATTCAGGTTATAATACATAGAAATGTCACAAGGAAACTCCCTGTATCTTAAACAAGCAAAAATGTCATTTTTTTTTTTCTTTTACAAAATCAGAAAACAAGAAATGGAACAGGTTCTGCAGGGGTGGGTGGAGTGGGGGTGGGAATTGGTGCCACTGGGAAGGGTAGGTGGTGGGGAAAGGGTATAGGAGGGGGAATATGGTGCGAAAACTGTGTATACACGTATGTAAATGTAAACATGATACCTGTTAAAACTATTCCAGGAATGGGGGGGGTGGAGAGGATGAATTAAAGTATGATGTATTTGATACATTAAGAATTTTTGTAAATGCCACAATGTACCCCTACCCAGCATAACAATTAAAAAAAAAAAACCCATCTTACTCAAATTATAATCCCTCTCTCCACCTTCTGAAAACAATTCCACCAAAGCCAGCATCTATCTCTTCCATAGAGTTGATCACTCACTTGTATTCTTCATAGCTTTTCATGTTCAGCTTTTGAAGGATCAGCTGGGATAGGCCAGGAACATTATTGTCCAGGGAGAAGAAGCCAAGTGCATCAATGCTAGGGCCAGGTTTTGAGAGGGTCAGAGGTACAGGAGCCACAACCGTGGGTGGGGTCACAGTCACGGGAGCCACCGATGGGGGTTTCTTGTGCTTTCGTCGCCTTGAACGTGGAGCCATGGCCTTTCCAAAGACACCTGGGGACTAAATGTAAAACTGAAAGGAATGAAATTTGGCAAACTGGACACATGATGTTTTCAGATGCTTGATCTTTTACTTCTCATTCCAGTCTCTCAGACCCAGGTTATAAGTAAGATTTATTTAGTATTTATGGATTATTGATCATTGCAGGCAATTGTGAAAAACAGAGTAATTACATACAAATATAATTTATACATATGTGTTACATATAAACTCCTATATATAATATAAATATGTATGTAAGTAAATGCATACAGAAAGATCTGGCAGGGCTCTTAGAAAACTGGTAACAGTGATTAACTCTGAGTAGGGGAAGAAGGCAGTAGGATATGAACTTGTTTGATCAAGGGGATGTTAGGCTTTTCTGTAATGTTTAACTTTCGATAAGGAGAATATATTCATGTATTAGTGTATAATATTTTTAAAAACTTAAAAAAGTGGAAAAAGTAACATGTTTTAGTTGTCCAGAACTATTATCAATTGGAGAATTAGCTAATCTAATCTGGTGGGAAGATAAAACATTCATGAAGTGGGTGGTAAGGGAGGGGGTGGGGGCAGGGGGGAAAAATGACCCAAGCATTGTATGCACATATGAATAATAAAACAATAAAAATTTAAAAAAACCTCATTGTTAAATATTGGTGTTATATCTAAAATAATAATAATTCTCATAATTTTAACTAACTTACCTGTGAATAGATGTTTTGAGACACCCTAGATAAGACTGTTGACTTTTAGTAATTAATCTGTAGATTCTCTTGGGTTTTCTATGAACAGAATAAAGTTATCTGCAACCAATGACATGGCTGTGTCTTCCCTTCCAACTCAGGTCACTGACATCTTTTTTCTCCCCTTATTGTGCCAGTCTAGACAGCCAGGATCATGTTGAGCATAAGTGGTAGGGATGAGCATTCTGTAACATTCTCAATTTAGGGGAGGAAAACTCCATGTTTCAATATTAAGTGTGAGATCTGGTATAGGTAATTTTTTTTAAAGATACCATATATCAGATTAAGCACGTTCATGGTTTCTAAGTGTTTACTATGAATGGATGCTGAATTTTGTTTTTTTTTGTAACTAAGTGATCATTTAATTTCCTTCTTTTTTTCTGTTATTGGGGTGAAAATTGAGTTCTGATTGCTAAACTGAATTTGCATTACTGAAATAAACTCACTTCATCACGTGACTTAAAAAAAAAATTTATAAGCAATAAGTGAAGAAATATAAATTAAATTAAATACAAAATGAGCACCACAATGCTAATACTTATGTAGCCAAAGAAAATCAGGAAAATTATGAAGAAAACTTCCAAAACAGTTAAGATTTAAAGAAGTACTAAGGCCATATCCAACCACTAGCTAAGACTTTATGATGCCCAACTTTCCTGTCTTATCTCCTCTCATGGCTTCCACAAGAGGTGCGCAGACAGAAGGGACCACTTTGGGAAAAAATGAAAATATCCATCCACTCAACATGTATTAACAGATAAAAACAGTTGCAAAATAATATATGGAAACAAATATGAAAAATGTAGATCTTTGCTGGGCATGGTAGCACAGGTCTGTAAGTCAAGCACTCAGGAGGCTGGAGCAGGAGGATCTCAGGGGAAAGAGAGAGGGAGGGAGGAAGGGAGGGAATTACTTGAGTATGAATGTTAAGTATAAAGACTTAAAAATAAGAGCTAAAACTATAGAAGTCTTAGAAGAAAACCTATGGGTTCATGACATAGATTTGGCAACAATTTCTTAGCTATGACACCAAAAGTAGGGGCAACAAAAAATAAGATAAATTGGACAACATTAAAGTTAAAAACTTTTGTGCATCAAAGGACACTATTGAGCTGGAGGTATAGATCAGTGGTACAACATGTGCTTAGTGTTCACAAGGCCCTGGGCTTAACCCCTGTGCCCCCCAAAATAAAAATTTTAAAAAGACCCTATCAAACAGAGTAAAATGACAACCCACAAAATGGGAGAAAATATTTGCAAATTATATATATGACAGAAGATTACTATCTAGAATATATAAAGAAATGGATCAAATATTTACAAATGGATAACACACAAAAAGTGTTCATTAGTTATTAGGGAAATGCAAATCAAAATGATGACTATTATTTAAAAAAAAAAAAAACAGAGCTGGGAGCCGGCGGCTCATGTTTTGTAATCCTAGCTACTCAGGAGGCAGAGATCAGGAGGATCAGGGTTCGAAGCCTGTCCAGGCAAATAGGGTGTGAGACCCTATCTTGAAAAAACCCAGCACAGAAAGGGCTGGTGGAGTGGCTTAAATGGTAAAGCGCCTGCCTAACAAGCGTAAGCCCCTGAATTCAAACCCCAGTGGTGAAAAAAAAAATTTTAAAAATAAAGCTAATATGAAAACAAACAACCAACCCCCCCCCCTGCAGAAAACAGCAAATATTGATGAGGATGTAGAGTAATTGGAAGCCCTGTGTACTTTTGATAGAAATGTAAAACTACACAGGTATAACAGCGAACAGTATAGCAGTTCTTTGTGCCTCAAAAAGTTAGGCACAGAATTAATACATGATACAGAAATTTTATTCTTAGGTATATATTTGAAATAATTAAAAATGGGTACCTTAAATGCTTATCTACGAATGTTCACAGCAGCACTAAAGATAGAAACGACTAAGCTCCACCAATGGATGAATGGATAAACAAATTAGGATTGTAGATTACACAGATACACATATACACATACATGTGAGTAACATTTAGCCATAAAAATACTGACACATGCTACAATGTAGTTGAACCTCACAAATTTTATCGTAAGTGAAAGAAGCCAGACATAAACAGATGGTTTATGATGTGATTTATATACAATATCAAGAATAGGTAAACTCAAAGACAGAACTCAGAGCAGATTGGTGGTTACCAGAGACAGGATAAAGCAAAAATAAGGAGTAACTGCTTCAAAATTACTGGGTTTTCATTTGAGCTGTGGAAAATGTTTTGGAACTAGACAAAGGCTGTGGCTACACAACATCGTGAATGTACTAAATGCCACTTAACTGATAACTTTCAATTATTGATTTTATGTTATATGCACTTCATATCAATTAAGGAAGGAAGAAGGAAAGGAAAAAAGAAGGAAAGGAAAAAAAAGGAAAGGAAAAAAGAAGGAAAGAAAGGTATCTGTAGACATCAAAAGGTTAAAAAGTTATTAATATCCAAATTAACTGCCTCTAGAGACTAGGAAATGATAAGAGGATAAAAACTGGCAGTGCTTGGTTTTACTGTGAATGAGGTAACCAAGTTTATATCAGGGAACTTGTTTTGTTACAAAAATGGCCTGACATTTGATCCTTCTAGACCAGATCTGTTAGGGGAAACCAGCAGAATCATCATGCAGTTGAGGTGTATATAGGTGGCAAAACCAAACAAAATATTCTCAGAATCACTGGCCTCATGTCCATGTCTTACAACCTGATCTTGTAAATCCCCGGCCTGAGGTTAATAGAGGAATGAATTTGTATTTTCCTTTGCACTTCCTTTCACCTTATCCTTATGGCTTCCATCTACCCTTAGATAGCTGAACTCATCTGTATTCACTATCAATGAAGAATAAATTGGATCTAATGAAAACAGTTTAACTTAAGATCTTAAGGTTAATGAGTTATGTTCCTTTACTAAAAGGTGGTTGGAGCTGGGAACCAGTGGCTCATGCCTATAATCCTAGCTACTCGGGAGGCAGAGATCAGGAGGATTTTGGTTCAAAGCCAGCCTAGGCAAGTAAGTTCATGATTCCCTATCTCAAAAATACCTAACACAAAAAGGGCTGGTGGAGTGGCTCAAGTTGTAGGCCCTGAGTTCAAGCCCCAGGACCGCAAAAAACAAATAAATAAAAGGGTGGAATTGCCCTTTATACCTTACAACTCCTTTTCTACTTGATTCTGCCCTCCATCATCCCCCTTACCCCAGCTCCAGTGCTGGGGAACAAACTCAGGGCCACATACAGGCTACGCAAGCACTCTGGCACTGAGCTAAAACCCTCAACCCCTCTGTCCTCCACTTTTAATCATGACACATTGCAGAATTGCTGCTATTCTATAAAAAGCGCTTATCTATTCTGTCTACCTAATCCCTAGGTTAAGATAACACCTTCTTAACTTGAAAGAATGGGCTGAAATAAAAAAAAAAAAAAAAGAATCTGACTAATGCTAAACCATACCCCTTTCTGCTGCAGTAGAAGTAGCAAACTTAACTGCATTTTCAAGACTGTCCTCTTCCAATAGAAGAGTAACTCTTGGCAATATGTGGATTGACTGAACTGGCTAGAAATCAAAAGGTACACACTGCTTGGAGAAAAGAAGCTGTAATGCTAAATCCCTAATGTCATGGATTCCTCTAGGTCTAGAGTACATCGATGATGTATGGTACAAACGTGCTAGCTTTTTGGCAGGAAGGCAAGAAGATAAGAATGAGAAGTTGGGTCTTTGCATTTTCATCTACATATATCATCAGGCTCATGTCTGAGTTTGTGTTCTCCAGGTCCATATGCAGCTTCTCTGGTTCTCACTTTTATGCAGAGCCCCAAGCTCCTCCAAGTTCAAGAGGGATAAGCCTCTTGAGAAGCAAAGGGGAAAAAAAAAAAACCCAGGGGGACCTAGCATGAAGCTGGAAAGAATTAGAATAAGCACTAGGAATTTACCAGAGTTCAGTCTTTCCTATCTCAAAAGAGAATTACTATCTTTTTCCTAGCCATCTCCAGAGACTTAGGCTTTAACTTTTTCTCAGTACATACCAACATCAAGGATTTCAGAGAAGATATGTATTTAGCTGTCTAGAAACTTTCTCCTTCATCTTGAAATTATAAACTAAAATATTAACCTATTCCTAGACACAGGTCTCCTATCTTTCTCTCCCATTATCAATTAAAGTCCCAAGTTTTACCTGAGTCACAGCCTCACTATCACCAGACCAGAAGGGCCTATTTAAATTTCACCATTCACCAGCAAACACGAAACATCTTTGAGGGGTGAGGAAAAGGGAGAGTGAAGCTAGTCACTAGGATTTTCATGGGAAAAAGAGAAAAAAAGAAATACCTAATAAGAACATTGTTATTATGACCACGATCAGCTGCCTAATCAGTGATTAACACTCCCTGGAGTGATAAATACTTTACTCAATTATAAACTAAGTAAGCAGACAGATTGATGGGAAAGTAACTTACCCTGCTAAGCCCTAGGCTTCCTTCCTTCTCTCTTTCCTCCAAGTGAAGTGGGTACGTGATCTCCTCAGATCTAAGTTGAGGCTTACTTGCAGCTGTTATTTCATATCAGTTTCTTCCACAAACTGCTTAAATGCTAGGTCTCAATAATTAAGTATGCCCTGCCAACCAGAAAGACAAAGCTGAATTCTCCCTAATGAGGCAAGTAAGGATCTGGACCCCTGCCCGAGGACTTCTCTCTGACCCTCATTCTCTGCCAAGATGGCTCAGGATTGTCAACACTCCCAAACTCACCAAAGCCAGGCAGGCTAAAGAAAGATGACACCTACTGCTTTCTGGACTTCTCTCAAGGCAGTATTTCTGCTCTCGGTTTACAGCTTCAGAATAGGTAAAAAAATCTCTGGGGATTAATCAAAAAGTCAATATTTGGTTAAAAAGGAAGGCACAAAGGAACAGAAACCCTGGAAGTTCTTGGTTGTCAATTTAAACCCAGGATGAGTTCCTCAAGCCTCATGTCCCTTTTTTTTAGCATAACAAATATTGCTGAGACAGAAATCAACAATCTAGGTTTAAGTACAAATATAATCACCCAAGAAAGCAGAATAATGATCATTTAATATACAGAGGAACTCAACTATAGGGGAAACATACAGAATTAGTTTGTAAAATTCACTTTCCCTAAGGGAGAGTAAGGTATTTTCTAAGCGAGTATCATCAGGACCATTCCCTACTTCCTGCTTTTAAAAGAGAAATAAATTCTTCTGGAATATTAAAATAAGTTAAGAATATATTTTAGTTAATGACTATAAAAACATATAGTGTTTCTAGGAACAGAAAATAAAAAAGAATCAACTCAACCATCTCATTCCTTATTGTAATGGATGTTAATCCAGGAAATTAATTCCACATGTTTAGCTCCTTTCCACTTAGAGCTATTGAGCTATAGAACCTATCAGAAGATGTTAGGGCAGTGGTCCTATATGACTATAAGACCTAACTGTTTGCTTATATCTGATCCTAGCTGTCACTTACCTGTTTCTGTGGAACATCACCAACTGGGGAACAAACCCTCTTGCAATGAGGTCCACACAAATCAAATCCATATAGTTTTGATGCATAGAATGGATTCCAAAGGAACCCTAAACTGTAGGAAGCACAAACTATAAGCAGGGAGGGTAGGAGAAGAGTGTTAGAGGGTTAATGAAACATTACATAACATTACATAGAATTGTAAACAAAGTAAGATCAGTTATGGTATGCAAAGGCCCTGATTACATACGGGTAATTCATTTTGAGCAAGGATTTCAAACCAACCTCAAAATTAAACTATGAACCTCAAAGAGGTTATAAGTTCTGTTTCTAATGGCTGCACTCCAGAAGGTACAAGAAGTCAGAGATTGACATTGCTAATTCGGAAGTGTCATCTTTGAACAAAAAGGAGAATGACATAGAAAAATATTGAGTTATTTTACCATTACTACTATTTGTGCTGGTAGACATTTAAAGTAGCAATTTAGAAAGACTAAGTTTTCATAATTTTCATTCATCATGAGTTGCATTTAAAAAACATCATAATAAATACTTAACAAAATCTCTTTATAAAATTACTCATGAATATAGACTAGAAGGCCAAGCAGAGTGGTATATGCTTATAATCTCAGCACTCAGGAGACAAAGTCAGGAGGATAGTGAGTTTAAGGCTATCCTAGGCTACATAGTGAATAAATGAAAGAAAAGAAAGGAAGTAGAAGGAGAAGGGAAGGAGGGAGGTAAAAGAAAAAAGAGGGAGGAAAGGAAGGACAGTAGGAAGGAAGGAAAGGGAGGGAGAGAGGGAAGAAAAGTTTCCTATTTAAGAGGTAGGAAAGAGTCTGTGAGGCTAGGTGACAGTCCGTTACTTTTCATGTATATTGCTTTTTCTGAGCTGTTCCTTTCTCTTCCCCCCTCCTTTTTTTTTGGGGGGGGTGGGACTGGGGTTTGAACTCAGGGCTTCATACTTGCAGAGCAGGAACTCTATTGCTTGAGCCACACTCCTCTTTCCCCCTTTTAATTTCTACCATCAATCTATAATTACTCTAGTTTGCTAATGATGCTTCATGCTTACCCATGACTCCCACCAACACTATATAATTCTAGTGATGAACCAAAGGGCTAAGAAAGTTTCTAGCATGTGATACAGCAGTTAAATTCCATCTTTAGAGATACATAACTTTCATAAAACAATAGAAGAAAAGAAAAATCCTGAAAGCATACAGTACATATCAATGTTAGAGCAGTTCTTGGACTGTTTTACAAGCTGATATTACAGCAAATAGAAGTTATAATAACCAACAATTTAATAAGTTCTGTTTGTTATCTGGAAGTAAGGAGGTATATATGTTTCATGTAAATTACTGCTTTATAATGTATATTATAATTATTGTTTAAAACTACAAGTAAATTCAATTTTATGATTATATTCTAACATGTGAGTAATTTCTAAAATTCTGTACTTACTTTGAATATGCAAAGGAGGAGACGTATGATGGCAGGACAATCCAATACCATTCATATTTCTTTTGCTTATTGTTAAAATATAACAATAATTTCCTAATTCCACTTTAACAAAATTCCAAACAAGAACATTTTCTTTCAATTAAAAGTTAATGAAAACAGTGACACTAAATATTAGATTTAGGAGTCATATCATAGGCATCTAAAGTTCTCTAGTGCTCAATTACATAAAAGAAGATTAATAAAAGTTTAAGAAAAAGAGATGACAGAGACAAGAATTTAATTCAACAAATCACCATTAATTATCTACAAGATAATCTTCCCTGAAGGATATCCCAGCTCCATTAACAGAATTTATTGTTTGCATTAAAAGATCAAATCATAAAAAGTTCATATTTTCCAAATAAAACCCAACACAGAGATAGGAGCAGCGGCCCATGCATGGAATTTATTGTGTGCTACTGTTTATAAAATATTCAAATAGTCCTGCACATGCATAATATTTCCAACTTAGACAGGAGACCATACAGGGTGCACTTTCTGGCAAACAAAACAATAGATGGTTCCGCTGCCTGGAGCTCTGAGTTGTATTCCAGGGCATGAGGGAAGCAGGCCACCAAAGTAAAGGGAAATACCAAACTACAGTGGCAATCAATACAGGTCAATAATTGTGTAAAATTAGCACATGGTTCCATTTAGTTTAACCGAGCAGTTCTGTAACTATCAAAAGAAAAATTTCAACATGCACTCTTGACTTTTATGCTTCCACTAACATCTGAAGGATTGAACAAAATCATTGCTTCTAGGATTCATTGCTTAATCAAGAACATTTCCAGAACATTTAAATTTTTCCTTTGCATTAAAACATAAAAATGATAGAAAGCCAGCAGCAAATCACCCTGGTGGCTATTTTAGCAACTGGAGTACTCACAATAAACTAAAATTTCTCATAACATCTAGGTAGTAACCTATACATGTCGTACCTGTACATCATAGGTCTATATATTAAATATTTGCAAAATGAAAACATGCATACACAAAATACGTCAAGTTTTACAGACATGATTTGAATTAAAATTTACTTTGACAATGTACAAATTTCTCTTAAAGTACCTTAAATGAGTAATTCTGTAATTCTTCATAACTTTGAAATTTAGAGGTTTTTCTTCTTAAATCTCTGGGGTGTAAATCTCAAAAGATCTGGGCAAAAAAGACTCTAAATTAGTTTTTAGATGTGTGTTCAAGTAAGAGAGTCTTCCTAGAAATAGTCGATGCATTCATAATTGAAAAATACCAAGACTATGTTACAGAATTAGCCACATTTAAGAACAACAGACCTGAGGTCAGCATTTTGTATAAACACCAACTGGGTTTCTCAGCATTTTGCCTATAATTCAAAATACAGCTAGTAACCTCAGAAATATATTTTAAGACCATGCTAATTCATCCTTGAAAGACATTTCATGGAAAAAAAAAAAAGTCCACATTAACTCTTAGAATTGCATTTAAAGTCAGGGTTGGAAAAAAAAATCTAATTCTACTGAGGGGAAAAAAAACATATCTCATTTGTAAACTTAAATGTGTGAATCACAAGCATAAATGGAGGTATAGATGCCCTCCACTGGAAATTGCCCCAAACCCCTTGCTCACTGCTCTCCACCTTGGCAGCAATGACCAAATCTTATCATATAGCACAACATGTCCCAGGGCCCTCAAGCCTCCATCCAGGAAGGGGCTAGGGTCTCAAAAAGCACAATGGTTTCTTCAGAGGGACTGTGACATTGATAGTCAACTTGGCCAACCCCTCCAGCTCCTCGGGTGATCTGTCCATTTGGAGCCCGAGATATGAGAGTCCCTGGGGAAGCCGCTGGTCACTGGGCACTATGGTTGCCAGTCCCGTGGTTCTCAGTGGCATGTGCGGTGTTCAGAGAATTGAAACCATCTTGCTGTACAGCATCTTTCCGGGGTGGCATTCTCTCATTGATCCTATCCAAACCCTTTGCCTCTTCAAAACTGCAGATTCTATGTGGTGGAGAGAATCCTCGTATTGCTTAACAAAATGCAAATTTGAAAGTCAGTAACTGTAAAACAATTCTGAGATTTCAAAAACATAATTAATGATTTTTAAGAAGAAAGATATTAGCTGTAAGTAGCAACACTTAAATCTTACTTTAACTGAAGCCTATCCCCATTCCAGTCTTCCCACTAAAATATGAGATATTTAAACCTAAATAGAAACATGATAGCTTCATAGATGACAAGTGTTAGCATAGCTTAAAAAAACTAAAACACAAAAATGGCCTTTCCTGCCCACAATAACAACCTGCAGGCATTGGTTCCTACTGTATTAGTTCTACACCAGATCCTAATCACACAGTGACTATCACAGTAAGGCAGCAACAAGAGTAGGGGCAAGTGAGGAGGCTAAATAAGGTTAATCCTCAATATACAAATCAGTGCAAAAAGCGTGGGAGGAGAAAGAAGTAAGGCTAAATTAAAATGTAGTAGATAAGAACTATCTTGGAGGTCATCATCCCATCAACATTAGTATAAAATGAAAAAGGTAGGAAATGCCACTGGGAGTTAGATCTGTGTTTGGCTGATAGCAAAAAGTATTTATAGTTTTATATTTTAGGAGATGTCTTCCTTAATTCACAAGCCATTTACCATAAATTTTATGGAAACCCAAAGCAAAATAAATAATCATCATTCACCAATGGTTAGGGATTCTTATTCATTTCATCTGGAATGATGCATCCTCCGTTATTAAAATGTTCATAAAAGATTTCCATAATACTAGTTATAATCTGGTTGCATTATAGGTGCAATCCTTGGGATTCAGTCTGTGCACACAAACCAAACATGGCTAAGACAGCAAAACATACAGTAGTGGGTCATATCAAGCTAATTTATGATATACACGAATATAATCTTATCAGTAAACTATAGCCCAAACTGCAGCAAAAAACCCAAAACCAACCAACCACACAAAAATGTTATAGAAACAGTTTCTCCTGCACGCTCAGGCATATAACTGAAATGGGTAAAAACATACGTAACATGGGTAAAAACTTACACATTTATCTAAACGGGGGGCTCATTTACGGGAAAAAAATCTGAGTACAATACCATCACGCAAAATATGGGGCAGATCTGTATTTGCAGGGTAAGTTCAGTAATTTCCATTAAAACAGGCAACTTTAAAGCTATAATATATAGCATAACATGCTATAGTCCAGAGAAATCAAGCACATTAAATTCTGGGTGCATATCATACTAGGAAAGTGAAAAAAGACAGTCACTATGGACATCAGCCCTTGTTATAAAGAAAAAAAAGTGAAAAATGACTGTTAAACTTGATGAGTCAGTGAGTATGATTCATCTTGAACTGTGCAAGCTAGGAGAGTAAGACACACCCATAGGACATTCTCTGATGCCCACCCACACACCACAGATCTCTGCCAAGTGCAAGGACTCTGATCGTACCTTTTTCAGCCTCAATAGCCTCAACTGTGGCTGTACAGAAGTGAGCAGAGGCATGCAAAATGAATGAGAGAGATGAGAAGGGTCATATTGTACAGCAGAAAAGGCAATGATCACTTATATCACAGTATCCCATACTACATCATCATTTACAATTTAACACAAATAGTACCCATATTAAAGCCCCATCCAATCCCCCAATTCCTAACACAGCACAGTATACACACAGCACTATGACATCACTCAGAGCACATGTAGACCTATTGTAAATCCAGTCACCTCAGCACCCAGGCAAATGTACTTCTGTATTAATTACCCATCAAAAATTCTGATGGTGTCAGAGTTTTCCATTATGTTTATTATATCACATCCATTATAATCACAGAAAAATACTCTAGGGTAAAATTATGATGACAGAATTGTAGCAGAAAAGCAAACATGAAAATTTTTTTCTTTCATGTCTAATGGAAACAATACTAATCACCAGTTGGTTCCCTAAGATATAAACTAAAAGGGTCAGGAATGGTTTTCCTGTCATTTCCAACTAAAGCATTTCTAATTAAGGCAAAGCATAAGCAGCAAAAGCTGGTTTGGTTGTAATGAAATTTAAGAATCCTAAACTTGGTGAATTAGCCTAAACAGAATACATTTAAATATATCGTGTAGTTCCGTTATTTGTGGAGAATATAAAAGGATCCATCTGGTCAACTAGGAACTTCCTTCCTTTTTTTCTTTTTTCTTTTTTTAAAATTAAGACAAGGTCTCGCTATGTTG